TTTTAATTTTTATGTATGCTTGATTTTATGATGTAAAATTGATGCGCGTATTGAGAGTCGGATACGGTTTTGAATTTTGCGCATGCGATTCGGATGCGTATACAAAGTCTGCGGACGCGGATCGGATGCGGATACAATTACGTAGGAGCGTTGCGATACGGTTCGGATACAGATACGAATTCTGCGGATGCGGATCGGATGCGGATGATCAAACCGTTATCCTCGCAGGGCTCTAAATACAGTGACTGCCATCGTCGGAGCTCAAATCGCTGGTAGGACATTAATAAACACACAAAGGTAGTAGACCATCACTTGGATGGTCGTTGCCTAGTATGTTCTTGTTTTATTGCAAGAGAAAACACTGGTGGCATGCAGTACACAAAGATAAACAATCAGTTTCGGGCAAAATGAGCAGGCTTAACCCCCTTGCGTCTGCTTCCTTTTTCGGATGTTCTGACGTGCTTTTTTTCGTTCTGATACTCGGGATCGCTGATATCAGTACTTACAATTTGCCATGCTGCACTCCCGCCTCTGCACCCTTCAAACCATGCTAACTAGCAGTGCACGACGCAATGCACGCACTGCCCGTCACCACCCGCGTAAACAGCCGACCGACCGGATCGGACCGGACAACAGTGGACCGGACATGCTCGGCCCGTGGCGCGCATGCGCAGTGACGTGCTCCTGTCGACTTGGAGGGGGGGGGGGGGGGGGACCTCCCGAAGTTCACGAAGCTGTTGCGGCACGGTCGGAAGTGCTCCACAGAGCTTGCGCTGCCACAAATCTGCGAGCGGAAGATGTCCAACTTGAGCCAGTTCTGCCAGCGGAAGATGCGCTCTCCAAAAGAGGCGCTTTGGAGCACTCAATAGGGAGTTTTCGTAGATTGTTTTCGCCGTCCCGCAAGGCCCTACGCAACCCGCTACGATAGCGGGAACTCCACAGTCAAGGCTATCGCCGCGCAGGCGCAGTAGCAACTTCTTCCTTGCGGAACGCTTAGCGGAGGGGGCAACGCGGTCTACGAAAACTCTCTTATATCTGCTAGCGGAGTTCGCCATAAGCTACCCTCGGTCCTTCGGCCTCTGCCTGCCGGTTTCTTCTCTGGTCACACGCGTCGGTTGTCCAAAAGAACGCTTGCCTAGCTCGCAACTAAAAAAAATTGTAGAGCCCATCCACTTCACGTAAAGATGGAGAACCAACGAAGCGGTTGTCTTTACGAAAAACGCTACTAGTTTTCGCTTGGCATCGACGGCCCGATCTTCGTGAGTTATTTTCGCCTGGCGACGACGTTCATACTCCCTCTTCTCTTGCTGCTGACGCTCTAAACCGGCGAGTTCTTCGTCGGTGAGTGGAGGATCAATCGAAGCCGATGGACCCACACCATCAGCCGCACCACGTTGGGCCGCAGCGCGTTAGGCTTCGTGACGCTTTAGCACATTCGCTCTGTTGAGCGCGCCGACGATCCTTGTAGGCGCACTCTTCCTCTTCAGAGCGAACAACACGCGGCCTACCCATGGCGAGTCCAAAGGGCAACTGATAACGTCGCTACGAAATGGCTACGTCAAGGAAGTGGCTACGTCAAGAAGCAAAGGTACACAGCCGTTGGTTGGTAGATATATTGGGTTTTAGAGCGACGTTACAACGAATTGCTTTATTGATTGAATAAAGACACATACATACATAAAGCGATGAGCTCTTTCAATACACGACGTTGTAAGCTCTAAACCCAATTGTTTGAGGCAACCTCGAGGACAGCTTTTGCCGATTGAGTCGAAGCCTCTTTATGAGCATCGCGGAAGCGAAAGAAAAGAAGGCTAGATCGGCGCGTTCTGCCCTCAGCCTCGTCACTGCGCTCTCTTAGCTGAGATAAGTCTGCGACCGTAGATGATAACAAGACATCAGGACCTCACTATCTAAAACTGCCAAGGAAAGCTGATTCACGCGGGTTGCCCCCTCTTTTTATTTTTACTTGCCACGACCAATCGGAACGAAGGAGCGCCGTTTAAACGGGAGTTTTTCTTTTTTTTTTTTTTGTTAACAGCTGTGGGCGCATTTATTTCCAGATCCTAGCCCATAACAGCTTCCCTTCAAAACACCTCCAAATGTCACACGAAGTATGTTGTGCAGTGGAATGTAGGAATCTACAGGAGAAACAGCCACTGCTTTAGTTGTTCCTGTTCCGAGGAATCCTATGCAACGAGAGGCATGGAAACGTAATGTAGAGCTACGAGCGATTACTGGGCCCCGTCAGACGCAATGGTTTTGTGTGAGGACCATTTCACGGCCGAGTACTGTTATGTGCAAGATCGTCAGAGACGTCGAAGACGTTCATCCGTCTTGGTCGCTGAAGCTGGTCGGCACCGCTTTTAAGTCAAAATGACCGGTTTCCAGCACCTCTCGAAAACAATCACTGTCATCGCTGCTACGATCAACGTCGAAGACTCGGACGAAGCGAGCGATGCGTGGACGTCATTGTCTCGAAACCACGTGCTCGAAACGCGAAAGGTAGACGAAGAAGCTAAAGCACGAGACGCAGAAAGAGCGGTCTTCGAGTACGTGCAAGGAGACGCCACATCGCCAGGAACAGTGGGTCAAGTACGTCACCGACCCACGAAGCATGGCGGCCTTCCTGAATGGGGAGGATAGGAGAGCCGCGGAATAATTTGGTTCATCCACGAAACTACCGCGCCGTTAACGAAACGAATTTAGCAACAATATAGGAATGTTTAATTTGTCCTAGCAGTAAAGTTGTCTCTTTTCATTTTTGGCGTGTCATAACCCCTTTAACAAACAAAAACAAAGCAAAAATGGTGAAATCGGATGAAAATTAAACGTGGCAAATTTAACTGAAACATGGGTTTTCTAAAAAGTCGCCACGAACGTAGAGAACACTCAAACAAAGCTGTGCTCGACAAAAAGTAAGTACTCAAAGAAGCTGGTGTAAATTTAACATAATTACGAGAAAAAAACCGAGACTGGGGGGGAAATCAACAACATAAGGAAAATTACATCGTGTTTGTGTAGTCCCTCCTTTTCCTCAGTCTCGGGGTTCTTTGTAATTATGCGCTTGACATTAATCTGTGTTTGTCTTCTTCTTTATAAAACCAGGGGTATATAATGCGAAGTGTTCCACAATGAAACGTTTCACCTCGTAGATAACATTGAGACTGTCTTCATCGACTTGCAGAATCGCGGTAGTTCGGAACATGTATAAGAGCACTTTCGACATCACTTATATAGCGCTAGTATTCCCGTCATATCCGTACCTTCCAGACAATAATATTCCTTTTATATGTTCAGCCGCCAAAATATTTGATCTGCCAAGTACTGATAAATTAAACATTTTATCTATGAGCACTTTGAAAAGAAGCCCAAATGGGCAGAAATAAAAGGATTGGTCGATAGTAGCTTCAATACAAAGCTTTTTTTTATATTTACGGACTGCCTTAGGAGGTTTACGGCAAAAATATTAAGTTTTGGTTAGTCTAGCAATGATTAGGACGTCTGTTCTCGATTTATCATACACCAGAGATGTATGTATGCGAATTAGAACGTACATACATTTCGTTTGTGCTTGTTTGGAGTACTACCAATGACTGCTTCTTAATGGCGGCTCCTACTCTTTGAGGTAAAACTTGTATCCATGCCCCTTTTGGCATTTGTTTAAGGAACCTTCACTCCGGCAAATGTCGGGCTCAATATGGTATGGGAACACAAGGCCGCCGTACAAAACTTTCTGAGATATTCATTCCTTCGTTTTCCTTGCTGTAGCACGCGTGATCATCAGGCACATCTTTGCTCGCTACTCATGTACCAGGTTCTCCCCGCCAGATTTCAGATTGTTCAGCTTGCGCTCTTTTCCTTCTTGACAAGATTCACCTTCCAGTGTAACCATCACGTTTCACACAACCACACTTTATTCATCTGCTGCGCGTCAAAAATCGGAACGTTCATCGTGCGAGCCGGGCCTTGATTAAAGACCCAAACTGAATATATATTTAGAGACGGACTGCCACCAACACATTGAAACTTCTAAAACCAACGTCAACGTAATTGTGGGAATGTGGCGCACTACGGCGACGTGACCCGGAGTCGTCTTCAGGCAGCTGTACTCCGTTCACCACTAAGCAGGCGATGCGGTGTACCCTACGCGCTCGTTGGATCAGTCATACGCCTACACCTCGCTTTGTGAGCAGGCTCCTACCTACGCTTTGAAAGCGTTGTCAGAGAATGGAAGCTGGGCGATTGATTGGTTCTGCAAACGAATAGCTCCAACCGCACTGTCAGCGTATGGGAGAGACAGTGTATAGATCCGCTCGTGATTAGTCGGCACTTCAGGGGTGCTGACAGCTGGGAAGGGGTGGCACGGGTCAGTGGCTGTCACTCGAAGGGGAGCCAACAGTCACTAACGCCACTTTAAGCAGGGAATTCAATTGATGGACTGCGTTTAAGATTTTCTCTCTCTCTCTCTCTCTCTCTCTTGAACCCTTCTGGAACCTTCTCTGGGTTAAAATGCAATTAAAATGCACAAACAAATATTTTTTTTTCTAAAACGTACTCTTTCCTTGGCTTATATTGACGACGGGAGGCTAATTTATAATTTTCTTCTTCCTATGTTTCCTCAAAGCCTCTTCCCTCAAACGTTCCACAGCTGAAGATAGCAGGGTGATATCGTACATGCCAATTATGCAGAAAGGAGATAAAAGTAAAAAAAAATACAAATAAAAAGGCAGTATTTTTTAGTACAGGTCACCTTAAATGGAAGTCACTAATTATTTATTAAGGTGTGACAAAGTGTGACAAACATTTAAAACATCATATAGAGCTTTTCTTTAAGAAACTAGCTACCAAATAATCGCGTTTCGGTCGTGCCCTAATCTCTGCCTTTGAAAAGCTGGTTTCTAGGCTGATATATCCTTAGTTAAAACTATCTTTAGTGGATGAATACCCCGTGTATGAACTGTGTTTTCTTTTAAACACCAGTGAGGCAACATGAGACAACATAAGGGGCAGACACGTATTTTACTTGTTCTCTTCCTTGTAGCATGTAAAGATCCGTAACTTTGAACTAAAATATCAATTTTAACTGCACCGGAAACAAACTGAATAACTAGATAATTCAATATCCAAAAAATATTGATTCGAAGACGCTTCCAGACAAAAACAAAAAGGGTTCTAATTTATTCGGCAGGTTTCATACATCAGAGTACCCTATTTTTATTCAATCTTTAACACTCATGCTCCATCTAATGGTGCGCGTGACCATGTGGGGCCGCTGTGCTTGGGGACGCAACGCATGTACCCTCGGCTCCCTGGAAGATGTTTGCATCTGGATCATTCAGCTTGCACTCGTAGCCATCCTCGCAAATATCCTGGTGAAGTATGATGCAGGGGGTATTGGCGCACTGAAAAGAAAGTTCGACCGAAAGAAAGTTTAGACGACATTTTTCTTGACGTTTGGTTGTCTTTTGTGGAGCTTTTACCGCACTTTTGTGAATGTGTAAATTTCAGAATTTCCTGCTAGTTCTATTAGCATACAAAGTGATTTTTCACCGATACATCTGCAATATTGTGTTAGAAGCATACTTGAGGGTCGAAAAACAACACAAGCCCCTTTCTTGGTGTGAGGACGAAGAAGGCGCATTTTCTGTTTTTTTATCACCAAATGCACAAAATAACAAAATCACATTAAGCGAGTTTTTTTATGAAAAAATTGTTTCGCAATAAAGCAACAATCTAGCAACGGATGATCGCGGGAATATTTATGCACCGAGATGTTGGTCAGGTTAAATTCCCAGATAAAAACGTTTTCTCTTGATTTCTTTACTTTTAAAATGCACAATGTAAGGACGCAAATGCATGAGAAAACACCACATGTTATTTTTTTTTCGATCGATGTTAATTTTATCTTCATTTTTGCGTGTACCTTCAGAAAGAGGTTTTTTTCTTTTTATTTAGGTCGTTATGAATTTGTTTAGAAATTCACTCCGGATTTCTTTTGATGGCCGATGAGACTCGAAAATTCATTTTTTTGTGAGAGAAAAAAGTTCTGTTCAAATTCCTTGCCAGTCTTGGCAATCAAAATTAGGAACTACGTAATAGTTTTATTATGTGGAAAATATAAGCGACGTCTATATATTTCGCGACACTGTAGATTCGGTACTGAATGTTTTGTGTAAGCCAATGTTATATTTAATTAAACGTCTTGGAAACTTTGAACGACATAATCGGCAAGCCATTTTTTTATTGTGACAAATTTTTTTTAGTAAATAAAATTAAGGTATAAAATTCAGCATCATCACTAATACTTCCAGGGAACTATGCTACACGCGCGAAACGTAACGCAAATACACGCCTTATGCAAGAAAATAAATTTGATTCTGAATTTATTTTTGCATAAAGTTTAGAGTAGATATGAAAATAAAAGCGCGAGAGAACGGGACAGAATAGGCTGAGACAAACAAAACGCTTCAAAATAGAGATCAACTTTCAATATAAAAATTTGAGATGTCTAAACCTTGTTTTTCTGTCGAGTCGCATCTGCGCCGTGTGCTTCATTCTCTTTCAGATAGAATATTTTAGTCATATTCGTATTAACAATCGTGTCGTAATAAATGAGGTTTCCAAGACTGTTCAGAGCTATGTTGTTTGTTTCATAAAAGAGGTACGTAGAGTCGTTAGCAGATTGCAGGCTCTTGCTGACTGGCATGCTAACCTTGCGTATCCTTTGAGTATCATTTGGCACATCAATTACTTCTTCTGTCGAGTTACTTAATTACCATACTACGTCAAGAACCAAACTGTGTAAATTCACGAAACCTTGTAACAGACGTCACAGCAACCGCATGACCCCTTGTAGGAGCCGCAGGTGCAGCTGACGGGATTGCAGTGTTGGTCGGCGCAATTTACGTTTGTACAAATAGGTGGGCTGGTGGCCTGGACTCTGTTGATGAAGAAATAAAAGACCATGTTAGTAGAGTCAGTGATCAAAACGCTAGAAATATTAACACCTTCTACAGTGCTCGGGATAAAATATGTTTTACAAGACTTGATTTTAAAGCACGAAAACTTTATTTATGGAGCCTTCGTGCAGTAGATGCCTGCAAAAATATAAACGAATAAGGAAAAACAGCGCCGGGAGGCTAGCGAATGAGAAGTCAGAAAAGCGGTGCTCTCATCGTGTTTAATTTGATCAGATTTCGCTTTGACGACAGTCTCTACCTTTTTTCTCGTGCGGTAGCAAACGGCTGTGTTCTTACTTACACACTTATTTTTTAGTTTCCGCCTGGGGGCATAAACTGCATCAGGTTATCGCTGGCAATAGGTTGAGGTAGTTTGTGGAATCCCTAATATTGCTGTAAATATTTTGCACAAATCGTCTCAGATGAAATTTGCGATAGCCGCCTCGGTGGCTCCGAGGCAAAGCGCCGGCCTATGGATCTTTGTGGCTAATTAATTGAAATTCGTTAATCACCTTTTTAATTAGTAAAATAACACATATGGTTCAAATTAGAAACTTACTGAGCGTTATCGAAAACAACTAAATGAACTCTTTTTAGAACGACTTGAAGCTCATGGGAAACTCGTGGGCGCACCGAAGTTACCACTCATGAAGCTGGCGCAAACCTAGCACTTTCAGAACGCGGATGATTAGATCATTAGCGCGTTCCGCCACTGCTTGATTTGCGCCTGCATCACGCGTGGTAACTTTGGAGCGCCCCCGAAATTTTCACGAGCTTCAAGTCGTTCTAAAAAAAGTTGTTTTAGTTGTTTTCGATGAGGCTCAGTAAGTTTCTAATCGAAACCTTATGTCTAATTTCACTAATTAAAAGTTATTTAACGAACTTTAAATAATTAGCCGACTTAACCATAAGATTAGCCACCCACATAATGTCCTCCTGGCCGTATAACCTACCTGCACAAACCGTATTAGGGCATCTTTTATGAATGTTTTGTAATAAACCTGTTCGAAATAAATTGGAGCACCCGGTAGATATATATAATAAAAGCGCTAAAGTGGAGAGCATTAGACGTCCGTTTATTTCAAACCCATTTGATAAGGAAGCGATATATCTTGGGGAGTTGCATGATACAAACCGGAGCCTATGATATGTTTTATAGGGTTATGCAGTCTCAGGTTTCAATCATTATGTATAAGTTGCACCAGCTCGCCTGCATTTTAACCGTTCTTTCGTGAAGCCTTCTTTTTTTCTTTTTAATTAGACATCAATATATAAAACTCACCCAATGATAGAGACTGCGGCAACCAGCAGTAGGAGAATTGCGACTCTCATCTTCAAGCCTAGGATTGTTAAAAATGTGTTTTAACAAGAAGCGTTTTATTTAAAGTTACCTGTTTTCATTGAAAGGGTCTATAGTATTCACTACCCTATTGCAAAAAGATTCGGAGCTGGTGACCCAGCAATTTCAAAGTACACTTTTTTATTTACTTTTGGCTCTTTTTTTTTCCTTGGTTCGTTTTTTTTCACAATATTAGAACTTGGGAAGCTAGTTTGTGTAGTTTTACAGCAAATTGTTGTTCATATTTTAAAATGGCAGTGCGTGTTTGAACAACCATTTCAAAGGAACCAAAGAAACCTTCGGCCCTGTGGTTTAGCGTCATGAACAAAAAAAAGAGTTAAGAAAATACCTCCTCCGAACAAACTCATGAATTTGGCGGTGATACCAACACATATATCAAAAATATTTGTTCATAAAATGGTCCACAATTAGAACCCGTTTTGTCACCAACTGGGGTGCAATTTGCACCCTAGAATTTCGTATGTATTCACACAAAATAAAACAAACTCGGAGCAAGTCATTTGTTCTACTAAAAAGCAAAATAATTTATTTAGTAATACATTGACGTTACTAATGAGCTCCCTTTTCTTTTCCACGTGCTAAACTCGCCCGTCTCAATACTTTCGGTGTGCTTCAGCTAGAGTGGAGAGGCAAGTACGCACTTAAGTTGAATTGTTATACCCCTAGAATAATTTATACAGCTCTTTCATAAGCTCATAATCCGAAACCCAATAGCACCACTGTGCAGATCACACCTTTTTTTAAGTTTTAAAAATGACTCACCGAAACACAGCCACGAATGACACAAGCTTGAAGAAAACTGAGTGCAAAAATTCACGCGGCGTATTTTATACAAGTTCCACACTGGACGAACGACGAATCACAACGCGCCCTTTCTTGAAGGGCGCTGATTGGCTCTTTTTTGAGCGTGCACTTGCCTTTTCTTAACTTTTACGAGAGAGATATCTCAAGGACACTGCAACGCAACACCATGGAATAGAAGTCGACGTTGTACGCAGTGGAATATCAGGCGCACGTCCTAAGTCAAAAGCAAGAGATATGAAACTATTTTCGCTCGAGGCTCTTTTCATATCTGCTGAGATGAGGGTTTCAGCCTGCGGTTTCCCACTGTCAGCGAAATAATGCTCAGAGAGCGACACTGCTAATGCAAGCAACTAATCACTGTTTCCCTGTTTTTTGGGCTCTTTTTATTAATTCTTTAAGGCGTTGAACTTTGATTCTAGGGGCAAGAACGTTGGTGAAATAATCTGTGGGAAATAACGGATTACTTGTTATTACGAATTGGAATTCTTAAATAAATTCCATAAAATTGTTTAAACGATACACGCGCCCGTCAACGCATTGTTGATTTGGATTTAAACGCCCCGAACTTGGGAGCTGCCAGCTGTGAAGAGTAGTCCGGTTTTTATACCTTAATACGGCTTTTAGCATTATGTTATTTTTTTAAATTCTATCTCATCCTATCCCCCCTCTTATTTTTATGATTAATTTACAAAAGTGGTTGGCCTTGTCAGTAAAGATCACTTACGTCTGAATCCCCTCTCCCAACAAGCGCCACTCAAGAACTTAAAATAACGACAATTAAATAATATTCTTCATTCATACTTCTTGATATAATTATTATCATTATTCACAATCATATTAGGCGTAGCACAGCTTCGCTTAAGCAATTTTTATGTCTGGACCACCGTGAAACAAAAACCAAAAATGATAGGATTCATACCTCGAGAGGCGCTTTTAGCATTCTTATCTCCATATTATATGCCCTTCCAAAGTGATACATTAAGTGAAATATGTGTCCTACTCTGGCGAATACACAAAAGCCTTGTAGACCAGTGGTGTATGCGAAGTCTTCTTGTGTTTATCTAATAAATGGTGGAGGCCACTAGACTCCGTTCCCCCTTAAGCTGAAAGCGCGGTGGAAGATACGGACCCGAAGGAGTGGTCTATCATTTGCCGCGTGATCGCCACGTGCGCCTGGGCATAGTCTTCCGCTCATACCCACGAGCAGAGAAAGGGGTCAGTTGATGAAAGAGGGTCGGCTGATTGGTCCGATCAGCACCTAGTCCCCACCGCACGGTCAGCTTAGGGTTGAACGGACTCTTAGCATAAGCGATGGCTGCAAATAATTAGGCATATGTACGAACAGTATCATTGGCTACTTTGTATAGAAAAGGGAGGTGTTGATGAGTTGGACATAGTGTGCGCTCACTACTGTATACCTGTTTCTGTGTATGCTTGTCAAAATGTTCATTTTCGGTATCTTCGTGCTCGTGGTGTAGATGATGCGCCACCTTTATCAGTAAAAAATCAATTTCCTCTCTTTTAGCGTTACCAATCGGTGACGCCTGCGTTTTCACTGCTGCCAGGATCAATCGCCTCACTAAGTTTAGCAGTAAAATTCAATTTGTGTATAGGTCACTACTAGTTCCCCACTAAATTCAGCGGGGAACTGAATTCGTGAATATGTCACGTGACGTCAATTTCCCCGCTAAATTTAGTGTGGAAAATGAATGTTTGTATAGGTTACGTGACGTACACCCAATATAAGTTACGGATGTGTATTTGTCCATGAATGGTTACGTGACGTCAAACTCTCCGGTAACCTTTGCGGCAAGATCGATTTGGCAATAGGGAGTTTTCGTGGACCGTTTTCGCCGTTCCGCAAGGACCTCCGCAAGGCGCTACGATAGCGGGAACTCCACAGTCAAGGCTATCGGCGCGCAAGCGCAGTAGCAACTTCTTCGTTGCGGAAGGCTTAGCGGAGGGGGCAACGCGGTCTACGAAAACTCCCTAATAGCTCAAATAACGTGAGATCACGTGACGTCCATTTTTTTTTTTTTGCTAAAGAGGTAGCGGAAAAATGCAGGGATGGGCGGACGAACGTATGGACAGACAGACATTTTTTCTGGGGGTTCCACTAAAATATATTTACTGCTTTAAAACGTTAGTATCTTAAGTGGTGTGCGCAAGATACAAATAAATTGTGACCAGTGTGTGACTAACGTAATTCAATCTCAGACTTAAAAATGTTGGTGTATCAGAAACGTATTTATGAAACACCTCTACACCGGGAGTTTGGACTGGCGCACCGAGAGTGCATTCGATGTCAATGAGAAGCTGCTCATTCCATGGATCAAAATTGTGACCATATGAGGTGATCTGCCGCTACTTTCCCACCATGTATAAACCCTTGCAACTGAGATCCCGGCTTAACCTAGAACCACGCGCCGAGGTGAAGCGGACCTGCTCTATAGCCAGGACTGAGTTCGTTTGCGTGTCGTGCAGTGTTGCCAAGCGTCTCTTGGTGACGCCTACACCACTATACGCAGAAAGATACTACAAACATTATTCTAAAACGTGCAGGTACTGTCTTCGACCGCGAAGAAGCACAAACAATTAAAAAATATACCTAAATAAGCAACAAATAAAAAAAAATTGAAAAATATCAAGTCTCAAAGCGCTCATCAGATAGCGCCAGAAGCTGCATGGCCGTTGCATCAACGATGGCTGCGCTTGTGGCAGCTCTGACTTCCACGACGTGCTGGAACAGAGTCTGCGATCGTTACAAAGTCAGTCGAAACGATTCGGTGTGGATACCTGCTCCTGTGTTCCGAAACAGCGAGTGCGTCGCTAACGCTGGCCGTCGGCGATACAGACAAAGGCCGCCATCTTGTCCTCGCGCACCCCCATGACGTTTCCTTAGCGCACCCCGGCATGGCGGAAATTTTACGCGGCGCCAGCATCACGCAAAATGACAGCGCATAGGAGCCTTTCTTGCAAACGTGTATTGACTCACGTAAAGTTTTATTTTTCGACCTTATTTTTATAGGGATATTAAATGAAATAGCATAGCAATATTCAGAACTTCCAGCAAGCGGAATCTAAGCCACGCTGCTATGATCCTAAAATAAACGCTAAACCATTTCGCCAAGAAAGAGCCTTGTAGAGCGATGGTGACTGAACTGCGTAATATTTAGTTCGCCAACCGAAACCGCGGAACGTGCATGTGGCGAGGCGCAATCGAACTGAAGGGGCTCGCTATTGTTTCCGCCATTGTACAATTATTACGCAGCTTCTAACAGACGCCACACCTTCGAGAGGGGTCATAGTATATGCGGTGCGCAACTTCGCCTGCTTCTTTTGCAGGGGTTGTGGTGACGTCAGAAAGACACCGAGCTCTGATTGGCTCTGATTGTAGGATAGTGGGTAGACCTCAAGGCAGCTTGCTTTAAGGTCTACCCACTATTCTTTAATTAGAGCCTATCAAAGCTCGGCGTTCTGGCGTCACCTCAACGGCTGCAAAAGAAGCAGGCGAACTCGCGCTCCGTGTATGCCCTGCCGCTTCGGAGCGGTACGACGAGTGCATGGGGCCTTTACTTTTCGATTATCATATTATCTATATATATATATATATGGTCGGCTCTCTGGGAGGCGGTTGCCTTCGGAGAGTCGTAAACGCGAGCGCGCGGGGACGTCAGAACGCCGAACTCTGATTCGAACGAATCGTCGGAAGCGTTCTAATGCGAGAGCTGAACGCAAAGACGCCTGCGTTACGCATTTCAAGACCGAGTTCGGTCAAGGACGCTTAAATATGGCACGACCCGGCATGACGTCTGTTATGGTTCCTGCAGCACGTCTCAGACTGATGTGTTTAGCGTCCTATCCCTCCCATACACCAAAAGTGGTCTCGAAGTGGCAACAAATGACATCACAGAAGCCGGGGTGTCATGCTCCTGCGAGTTGCGATCCTGGTGGCTGGTCGCAGAAATGCTCGCGAAAAGCACGACCGAACGCGAGTGTGGTGTCGTCACGGCGTCCCTGGTGTCCCAACTTGCGGCTGTTGTAGCTTTTTTGGACTGTCACAGTGAAGAGCGACTTGCCGCAGAACAGGCGTCTTCCACATACACCATAGCTGCTGGGACACCGCCAGGGTCGCGACCGGCGACAGCATGACACTTCTATGACGTCATCAGGCGGAAATCGAGGAACCACTTCTTTAGGCGCGATAAACACAAATGTCGGAGACGCGTTCAGGGCACCATAGTCGTGCCCAGCGATGCCTCAAAGATAAATCGATCCCAGACTGCTTGCGCACGGACGCGCTCTTATCTCAGCTCCCATCGTCTGCTCGCTGCTCGGTCGATCGGCTGCGTTAGGCCAGTTACGCTTAGACTGCGTTTGCTCCGCTCCGTGCCTGCGGCCTGCTTCCTCCGCTCGCTGTCGCGGCGGACTTTCGATTCGATCGGCGCACCAAAATAAATTTCGATGCGAACCCGCATTCTCATAACGTCGAAGGAGAAACGAACACCTACTGGAAGCAGGGCTTGTGCGGCTTTCTTCACCCGCGGTGTCATTCTCGGTGTTCGTGTGTTAGACGACCTTCACGCTCGCTTTCCAAAGCCGCGCTATGACGACTCGCTCTAGATGCCAGACGCTCCAGGCGCGGTGTCAAGAGCGTCCGCTACACGCCGACTTCCTACTTGTCAGGCAAATGTTGGACTGCAAATCTCACATATTCGACACCGACTCAGTGGACGCCGCCATAAAATTATGGAGCAAACAACCGCGTTTCCATGGCATTGCCATGGCAGCGCGGATTTTTTCTCCGTATTTTAATGGTGGCTTCCGTTAACTGAGCTTCCTAATCATGATGAAAATTTCCCGAGTCTGTGGTAAAAGATGAGGAACTTAGCAAAGAAACAAGACGCAGGAAAAGGATTGTCTCAACATCCGAGAGGATAAGGAGGCATTTCGTAGCCACGCCTACTTCCGTTACACTTCGCTCCACGTATGGAGAATACCGGTGCTACCTCCTGCCCATTGTAACCTTTT